AGTTCTCTCCAGAAGTTAAGCATGCTTAGGATTACAGAGTGTTGTGGGCAGAATTGTAGAAAGTAAGTGAATTAGACAAAAGGAAAATCTGTGACGTTAAAATTTTTAATATTGGGGTATAATTGTAGAGACTCTAAATATAGTTATTAAGATGATTGATGAGCTATGTTGTTGAGTTGAGTCCTCTCCATGGAAAGCACACTTTTGTGGAATTTTTAAACTTGTTTTTATAAATCTTTATAAAAGATTTTTGGGGGGCTAGGATTGTTGCTCAGTGGTAGAATGCTTGCCTAGCATGGGCGGAGCCTGAGTTCGATCCTCAGCATCACATAAAAAAAAAAAAGCTTAAAAAAAAAAGATTTTTTTGGCCTTTATGTATTAGAAGTTTGCGCTAGGAGAGTATGAAAAACGGAGAGAAAATGTGATGTTTATCTGGAGAGAAATAAGTTTCAATTTTCTATTGTTTTTGTCAATTCTCAAAAGTATGTACGGACCTTTTTACTACTTGATTGTCCTATGAATCAGAATGCCTGTAACTCAGCCTCTGGGGCCAAGAGACTTTAGCTGCTGCTGCTTGCTGCTTGCTATGGGGTCCTAGCCCCTGCAGCCAGCAGTGCTTTTAACCCTTGAATTACTTGACCTAAATGCCAAATACAGACTAACTTAAGATCTGATGGGAATGCTAGTGTTTGCTGCTAAAAAACCTTTGGAGCACCCACGTGCCACAGAAAAAAGTGCAGGATGTACAGGAGCTGCAACCGCAGGTCGCAGAGACAGACAAACTGCTATCACAGTAGGATCTTGGCCAGGTGGGGGAAAATGCAGACAAAATCAAACAAAATGCAATCGGCTAGGAAAATTTGGGGAACTTTTGCCCCCAAAATGGGCAGTGGACTCCATGTTGTTTGCATCACCATGGTAACCATGGGGTGCCTGGCCGGAAGAGCAGGCTTCCTTGTCCCACCTCCCACACTTTCGTGGGCTTCCGATTGGTTCTTCCACAGTCACTAACCTGTACTACTATGTTTCAAATTTCTACCAGAGCTGTTCAGAGCCTGTATTTTTAAGAATGCCTACCTGTGAATGTTAACGAAAGATATCTTTTTCAGACAAAATTTAATTCCACAGGTTTCTATGTTGCAGTCCTAAATTTAAGTTAGTTCTGAGCTAAATAACCTGAGTTTTCTCTATAGTTGTGTTACTAAATAATGTTCTATTGATGAGAGATATCAAACATGCTTCTTTGTATTTTACTTTTAATTTTGGAAGTTATGAGGATGCATTTGCTCGCTACAGGAACAAAGCCGGCAATGTTCCTGTGATGACCAAAAAATCCTTATTTTCATTCCTAAATATAAAAAATAAATATGTATACTCAAGGATCTTATTTCAGTTACATCAAGTGACATCACATAGAAGAGTGCACTCCTAGTTAAAAATAAATTAAAATGGATCCAAATATTTTAAGATCACGTGGTTACATAAAGTTAATACAATTATAAGTTATGTTGTTATTCTTTTTTTTTTTGAGAGAGAGAGAGAGAGAGAGAGAGAGAATTTTTTTAATGTTTATTTTAGTTCTTGGCAGACACAACATCTTTGTATGTGGTGCTGAGGATCCAACCTGGGCCACACGCATGCTAGGCGAGCGCGTTACCACTTGAGCAAAATCCCCAGCCCATGTTCTTATTCTTAATATATATATTTTTAGATAGTTAGATAACCTATATTTGTTAATCTATAAATTAATTAGCACATGCCTAATTGATTAGTTAATATATATTTGCCTAATTGTTTTTCTTCACCAGAAAACCCATAATTTATGTTTTATATTTACATTTATCAGATACTCTACCTTTTTAGTTACAGATATTTGAGATAAATGTATTTACTATAAATTTGCTTTTAAGTGAAAATACAATCTTTAAGTAGTTTCTAATTCTCAAAGTTACTGTTCAAACTCATAAGATGATAAATAATTATAATTATGTCTACAAAATATCTAAAAATTTTAACTATATTTTTATTGGTATTTCTTATCAAAGTACAATTTGTTTATAGATTGTAAGGTTTTCAGAAATTGTTCCAAAGTATAACCAAAAAAAAATTTCTAGAAGAAAAAGATGCTTCAACAACAACAACAAAAAGCACACATAGATCCTAAAAAGAAGAAAGAAATCATCTTTGAGTAAAACAAGGTCTTTATATTCATATTTCAATGATAAAAGTATTTTCCTAAGTAAAAAAATAAGATTTTTATATTATTATCTAAACAGATGATGTAAAAAGTTAGAATGATTAAAAAAGAGATTTATATTTACTAAACTGACTATAATTAATTTAAGGGTATTTCAGGCTATTTTCCTAATTTAATTATACTAATGTGAGCTAAGATTTTGTTCATATTTTGACATGATAAGCACCTATTAAAATGTAAGTTTATTTCTTTAAAGAAAGTTCCTTATTGCCTAATAATTCTTACTGTTTAAGACAAAGATTAATTTTGGTAAATAAATTCACATTGTTGATTAAACATTAAGTATATTGAACTACTAACTTAAATCCCAATTTTTAACAATTGTCCTTCGAGACTAAAATTGATTGATTCTAAGACATTGAGATACTAATTTTTACATATTTTGTTTGTTAGATAATTATAAAATTTTTAAAAAAATTTATTAAGACTAAGGTTCTCCAAATTAAAATTATATATTAATTTTAAACAATAAAGGTTACAAACTTAAAAAAATTCCTTGATACTATATAAGTTCTCTGACTAGATCTATTGTCCATAAAAAATACAGTAAGATTTATATACTGCTCCCTACACAAAAAATAACCTTAATCATATTTTTAAAGGCAATTAAGAGATACCTATTTAAATGATAATATTCTAAAATATAGAGATTTTGAGACCTTCTCTCAAAAAGATTGAAGATTCTTTCTAAATTGTTTGGATGAATCGACTAGTCTATATTAAAAAATTTTAAT